TCTCTCTCCCTCTCCCTCTCTCAAATAAATAAATAAATCTGTGAAAAAAGTAAATATATAAATAAATAAATAATTAATTAGGGGCACCTATCTGGGTTAGTTGGTAGATCATGTGACTCTTAATCTCGGGGTCATGAGTTCAAGCCCCACATTGGGCATAGAGCTTACCTAAAAAAAAAAAAATCGAGTTAAAAAATATTTTTTATTAAAAATTAAAATTAAATATGTAAAAGAAGGAGAATAACTATAACCTATTGTTCACTATCCAAACACAATATAGCAAAATGTGGATATTTTCTTACAATTCTATATATTGGTTATTGCTTTTATTACATAATTATAATCATACTGATTATTCAATTTATTATCTGGATTTTTTTCAGTTAGTTTTTTCTTTTTTAAAGATTTTATTTATTTATTTATTTACTTACTTACTTACTTACTCGAGAGAGAGAGAGAGACAGAGACAGAGAGAGAGAGCATGCATGTATGTGCAGAGAGGCAGAGGGGGAAGGAGACGGGGAGGGAGGAGAGCAAGCAGACTCTGGGCTAAGCCTGGAGCCGGACACAGGACTCCATACCACCTGAGCCACCCAGGTGCCCCCAGTTAGTTTTTTATCCTAAACATTTTTTTTAAGATTTATTTATTTATTTTAGAGAGAGAGAGAGCATAAACAGGGGTAAAGGCAAGGAAAAGAGAAAGGTAGAGAGAAGCAGACTTCATGCTGAGTGTGGAGCCCAACACAGGGCTGGATCTCATCACCCTGAGATCATGACCTGAGCCAAAATCAAGAGTCAGACATTGAACAGACTGAGCCACCCAGGCACCCCTACATTTTCAAAGAATATTTAGTAACATTAAAATGTTTAGGATAGGGTCACCTGGGTGGCTCAGTCACTTAAGCATCTGACTCAGGTCATGATGTCAAGGTCCTGGGATCAAGCCCCCACTGGGCACCACACTCAGTGAGGAGCCTGCTTGATGATTTCTCTCCCTCTCCCTCTGTCTGCTCATGCTGTCTCTCTCCCTCTCTTTTTCTCTCTCTAAAATAAGTAAATAAATATTAAAAAACAAAGAAAATGTTAAGGACTCTATGATGTTTTAGCAAATGGATATTCCATGCCTTAGTAATTATTCCCCTATGAATGACTCTTTAAATCATTTCAAATTTTGGGGTGCCTGGCTGGCTCCGTTGGTTAAGCATCTGCCTTCAACCCAAGACATGATCCCAGGGTCCTGGGATTGAGCCATGTGTCAGGCTCTCTGCTCAGTGGGGAGCCTGCTTCTCCCTCTCCCTCTGCCTGCCGCTCCCCCTGCTTGTCCTGCTCTTTGTCAAATAAATAAATAAAATCTTTAAAAATAGTAATAAATAAATAAATAAATAAAATATCATAAATAAATAAATTATTTAAAAATTTTACTGTCATAAATAACACTGCTATAAAATATTTGCACCTATGGCATTTTATGTATTTAGAATAATTTATTATTATTATTATTTTTTTAAAGATCTTATTTATTCATTTGACAAAGAGAGACACAGCGAGAGAGGGAACACAAGCAGGGGGAGTGGGAGAGGGAGAAGCAGGCTTCCCGCCGAGCAGGGAGCCCGATGCGGGACTCAATCCCAGGACCCTGGGATCATGACCTGAGCCAAAGGCAGATGCACAACAACTGAGCCACCCAGGCATCCCTAGAATAATTTATTATGATAAATTTCTAATATCATTGAATTAAGACATGAAAAAAATCTAAGGTTAATTATATATTGGAAAATTGCTTTCCTTAAGTATTGTACAGATCCATGTTCTAATCAGCAATGTCTTACAATCTCATTAACTGCAGTTTTCATCACTTACTTTTATTCTTGCTAATTTAATAAGAGAAAATATTTGGAGTTTGGTTGCTGTTTTTTTTTTAATTTTATTTTTAAGTAATATCTCTGCCCAAAGTGGGGCTCAAACCTACAAGTCCGAGATCAAGAGTTGCATGTTCTACCACCTAGCCAGCCAGGCACTCCTAGAGTTATTTTTATATGTGTTTTTAATTGCTGGTTATTTAAATTTTTTTCTTTAGCTAGACAGTTACACTTCCTCTTTTGCATATTTTTTATTCATGTTTGGCCATTTCTCTAATTTAGAGTGTTTTCCTTATTGATTTGCCTGAGTTACTTATATAATAAAAAGTTCGCCGTTTGCCTTCTAGATTTGCTCTAATATTTTCCAAGTTTGTTATTTGCCTTTCAATTTTTCCATATATTTTAATTATAGTTAAATTATTTATATAAGCTCATATATAAGTAAATAAATATTATATAAACTGTATATTTATGTAATTTAATATTTGCTTCCACTTTTCTGCTAGCTTTCTGTAGCTATATATTTTCTAATTAAATATATTTGTGAGGGTGTAAATTATCACATTTAAAAATTTTATTTTTGGTAATCAGTTCACAATATATACATATATCGAATCATTATGCTGTACATCTAAACTAATACAATGTTACATGTCAATTACATCTCAACAAATCTGGAAAAAATATTCTATAGTGAATTAATTGCATCAACTCCATTCATTCATTTAATGATTAAGCATTTACTCGGATAAGTGATGATAAAAATTTAGATAAGAGACATTTTTACAGGCTGGTGGAGGAGACAAACTGTGATAAATGCAGTGATAGAGGTATACATACTATAGGCACATTCATTCAACTTTAGTGACTACTAGCCCACATATTCTATAGGGACCAGTCATGGCCCTTCTTTTTAGAAAAGAGAGACTGAGAGAGAAATTTAAGTCAAACAGGAGTTATAGATAAATTTATTGTAGGGGCACCTAGGTGGCTCAGTCGTTAAGCATCTGCCTTTGGCTCAGGTCATGATCCCAGGGTCCTGGGATCAAGTCCCGTATTGGGCTCCCTGCTCCACGGGAAGCCTGCTTCTCCCTCTCCCACTCCCCCTGCTTGTGTTCCCTCTCTCACTGTCTCTCTCTCTCTGTCAAATAAATAAATAAAATCTTTAGATAAATTTATTGTGTGATAAGTGTCATAACAGAGAAAGTATGGGCTCCCATGGGAACACGGAACAAGGAGATTTGATATATCAAATCAAACTGTCTGATTTCCTCTCTGGCTGCCTGAGGATCAACCACCATCATGAATGACATGGTTACTATCCAGACCAGGAATTTCATGACCAACTGACTACTTCACCCAGGGAATACAACAGTACCTAAGACAGAAATTCAGGGAAAAACTAGCCAAAATGTACAAGACTTCACCAGATATCATCTTTGTATTTGTATCCAGAGCCTATTTTGGTGATGGGAAGGCAACTGACTTTAGCCTGATTTATGATTTCTTGGATTACACCTCCAAAAATGAACCCAGATATAGACTTGGCCGGTATGAGAAGAAACAGACATCAAGGAAGCAGTGAAAGGAATGCAAAACAGAATGAAAAAAGTCAGGGGGACTGCCAAGGCCAATGTTGGTGCTGGTAAAAAGTGAGCTGGGGATCAGACGCAGAAGGAGCAAAGATTCTGCAGTGACTATCTACACTGATTGTGCAGATGTTTCACAAGAGGATTAATAAACTGTTAATGTTTTTAATTTAAATAAATAAGTAATTCAAAACAAATTAGGAAGCCGGAAAGTCTTTCTTTCTTTTTTTTTTTTTTGAGGAGATACTGCCATTTTGAAGAACACATGGACCTGAGCTAGATGAAGGGGGGGGACACATCCTACACAGAGAGCACAATATCAAGACACAGGATGTGAGCACTCCACGTGTGTCCAACTTACTCAGCGTGGTTTGTTATGGCTGAAGGGAAGCGTACTACGTGTAGTTAACTGAAGAGGAGTGAAGTTTAAGATGCAGGCAGGAGCCAGAATATAGCATCTTTTATGCTGAATCTTAGCATCACTTTCTGAATAATCCTTCCTTTTCACATAGAAATAAGAATGTTTATTGGGCACTGATTATGGGTCAGTGTCTCTTCTAAGTGCTTTACCTGTATTAACTCACTTAATTCTCACAATCATCCATGCAGTAGATGCCAGTATTGCTCCTTGTCTTACTTAACAGGAAACTGGGGTGCAGAAAAGTTAAGTAACTTGTCCCTAGTCATACAGCTATATTTAAACCCACCCCCAGTCTGATTCCAGAGGCCAAACTATTAGCCACTCTGCCTTTCATTAGTATGGGATACTTCAGATATTTAAAAGAGTAAATTTTTAGAAAGTTGTCTGGAGGCTATGGATTCTGTACAGTATTTTCCTTCTCTTTCTTCTTATTCCAGAATCATGCTGTTTAAGTTGTGCTTTTTTTTTTTTAATGTTTTCATATCTAAAGGTAGTCTATGCCTTCACTATTTTCTTTTTCAGGGTTTTTTCTTTTTTTTTTTGGTAAATATTGACTATTTGTCAAGTGAACCTTTTCAGTAATTTTGTTGGACTCAAATTTGGGATGAGAGGATTTAGGTTGAAAGTGTGTTTAAGTGTATAAATTAAATGGGAAAATATTCAGTGTTTCCACCCAGAAAGTGCTATATACTTCTTCATTCATTTCTCTCAAATTTATCAATACATTTTTATAATTGTCTTAACATGGGTAGCATTTGGTAAGATTATTCTTAGATGTGTTATAATTTCTGTGGACGTGTAACACCTTATTGTATTTTCTAATTCTGGGTTATCGGCATATAGGAATGCTACTTATTTGTTTTACTTCTCCTGAAACGTGAAATAATAAAATGACCACTCAAAAACTAGGAACATAGAAAAGGTATAAACTTTATTCAGTAACGTTCCAACATTCAGAAAAGATTTGGGCCCATATGAAAGGCTCCAGAGGGAATACGGCATTTTTCTTCATTGTTTATCTACGTTTTAGTTACGCATTCAGACTACTATGGGTGATGCGTTTTTCGTACCCTTTTTCCCATAGTAAGAGGGAAGGAAACCTCCCTCAAATTACGTTGCTCTCCATGACCCATCCTAAGTCTCACAGTTCAAGCTAATCATTGACAGAGCTTTACAATCACAAGCTGTTACTGAAGCGATGATAAGACAGGCGAGCAGTTAGTACCAAATGAAGCCAGGCTGTGCGGCTGGATCTCCAGGGAATGAATGGATTTTCCTCAGCACGGATGAAAGAAACACACACTATAGGAAAACAATGTGCAACCGCGGGCTGCAAAGATCTGTCATCCTGTCGGCATTTATTCTCCTGAGAGCTGTTACTGGATTCACTGGAGACGGAAGAGCTATATGGTCTAAAACTCCTCATTTTAGTCCGGTAAATGAAAGTCAGCTGTTTCTCTATGACACTTTTCCTAAAAACTTTTTCTGGGGCGTTGGGACTGGAGCATTTCAAGTGGAAGGGAATTGGAAGACAGATGGAAAAGGACCCTCTATCTGGGATCATTTCATCCAAACACACCTTCAAAATGTCAACAGCATGAATAGTTCCAGTGACAGTTACATTTTTCTGGAAAAAGACTTATCAGCCCTGGATTTTATCGGAGTTTCTTTTTATCAATTCTCAATTTCCTGGCCAAGGCTTTTCCCCGATGGGATAGCAGCAGTTGCCAACGCAAAAGGTCTGCAGTACTACAATACTCTTCTCGATGCTTTAGTACTTAGAAACATTGAACCTGTGGTGACTTTATACCATTGGGATTTGCCTCTGGCGCTACAAGAAAAATATGGGGGGTGGAAAAATGAAACCATAACAGATATCTTCAATGACTATGCCACCTACTGTTTCCAGATGTTTGGGGACCGTGTCAAATATTGGATTACAATTCACAATCCATATCTAGTTGCTTGGCATGGGTATGGGACAGGTATGCACGCGCCTGGAGAGAGGGGAAACTTAGCAGCTGTCTACACTGTGGGACACAACCTAATCAAGGTACTGTATGGCTGGCTTCCTGTAATAGCTTCAGAATGTTAAGGAGCAGGAGTTAAAAAGAAACACTAAGAAATGTATCTTGTGTTTAAACAATTCTTTTTATTGATATCAACTCAACTAATTGTAGTCTAACTCACAAGCTCTAGCCTCAAATTTCACCCTTCAGGTCGTGTTTTATTTGTCTAAGCTCTTAATAATGTATTAAGCCAATTATTTTCCTTCAAGGTCGCGCTTTTACAATTTTTAACTCTTAAAATCTACAGGTATACATTAGAGTGTGAGAATATGAGTTTACTTTCATTCCGTGAAAAACCAGTACTTTAGAAATCTAATTGCTGAAACCCTTTTCTGACAATGTGCAGCCATTTCAGAATTTTTTTATGGCATGACCTTTTCTAAACACCATTTGTTGTTTGTATTGCTATTCTTCGTGATACTTAGCAATAATAAGCTAAAGACATGTTAACTAACTGATACATATTAAATATAGGAATTGAGATAAATGTATTTCACAGTTGGTTTTATCTGTTACATGGCAGAAAAGATGAGGCTAACTGTTCTAAGAGTTAAAATTAAACTAGTAATATAAAAACTGGGAAGAACATGCAGTACTCAGTATGTTTTAAGAACTAGAGTTAATGTTGGAAGATGTTAAAATTACTAAAACAATGGTGAAAATGTAAGCAAAATAATAGCAAATATTGGTTGGATCCTTACTATGTACCACAGACTATATTAAGCATTCTGTGTGCATTATCACATTTAATCCTCATCATAACTTTATGAACTAGGTCCTATTAGTATCCCCCTTTTAAAGATAAGGAAACTGAAGCTAAGTGGGATTAAATGAATTAATTTATAAAGGACAACATAATTAAACACCAAATGTCTTTATTAAGAATGTTTTTAAAAGAGCAATCTTTCGGGGATTTTAAAGAGACTTCACACTGAAGCTAATATCTAGAATCAGGTTAAACTTCTTGAGCCAAATAGTTTCCTTGGGGAAAATAAATTACTAAGGACACCTGTTACATTTTGAAAATGAAGACACTTTATTAGTAGTGTTTCATAATGTGTTAGGAGGAGTAATTTGATTTTTGATAATCAAATGTGAAATGTGTAGAAGTAGAAAAAATGTATAGGAACATAAAATTACTCCATGTTTAAATTTGCACATACAAAAATATCTACCCACCCTTCTTTTCTTTTTGAACTTTCTGGGCTATTATACATGTGTGTTGTACTATGGTTCAGTCACATCTGCCTTTGCAGTAAACAGATTGCGTTATGAGTTCAAGGTCATTTACATACCTTTGATTAGAGTTGTCTATAGAACATATGGTTAACGTGAGGGTGTACTGTGATTTGGCAAGTAGGACCTTAAAGGGGAGAAAACTTATAGCTATTTACTATGAAGATTATGCATATATAAGTTAGAAAAATATTCCTTCTATCTAGTTATTTAAATTATTAAAATGTATGCATTCATATATACTACATGCTTGTGTAGATTGAGAAACATCAGATGGTACCAGAGGGTATAAAGTGAAAAAGTTAAATTCCTCTCTCCCTCTCTACCTGACAATTTCAACCTCGAGGAAGCTACTGTTGGTGGTCTTTTATATAGTCTTTTTAAAGTTAAATAGGCAAATACATGTACATATATGTTTATTTAACCTTCTTATAAAGAAAAATGTTCTCAATTGTTGAAAAGTTTTCAGTTACCTGGAAAAATGTTAACAATTGGAATTTTCATGAACAATATGTTTTAGTGGTTATTTTAAAGCCTTGAAAACTGGCTATCTGATAAAAAAAAATACACAGGAAGAAGTTGTAACTAACAAATAGGCATTGCTTTCAAACTTAGCATATAAAATGCTGTATTTTCAGATGTTTTTTCATTTTCTCCTATTTCAAGATAAACTCTGCCTTTTACACAAAATTAGCACTCTCTGATAGTGAAATAAATTTTATTGTTTTAAATTGAGGGATTACATTTTTAATTAGTGTCTTTCCCAAATAATTTCTTCTATCTCTTTAAAATTTCTAAATCATTCACCAAAAAAGGAGTGTAAGGGGTCCCTTGAAATCAGTCAGAAAGTGAAATAAGCTTAGCCCAGGGACGTATAACTCCAGAAAGAAATCTTGCAATGGTTTGGTAGCCTGATGTGAACTCATTTTTCCCACTTGTTCCTTCTCTGTTCTTCCTTTAACATGGAAAAGATTAATTTGATATTTTATGTTGCAATGAGGTTATTTCTTCCTTATTTTGCCACCTGTGACCCAGAAGCAGCATTCTTGAGGATTTGTTTTTAGTCCCAGTTCACACAATTTACTGAGTTAAAAAAGCCTAATATAAAATTCAATTCACTTTATTCCCCAGTCCTCAGACACTGAAAAGATTTCATAGTGGCTATTGGGGTCTTTCTAGTTCCAGGATAATCTTGAAAACTCCATATCGGTCAGCAGTATCCTGGTTTGGAGGAAACCTGAATGGCCTAGCCAGTCCTGAGACTGACCTGGGATTTAAATCCCAACTTTATTGGGATTTGGTGATTACCTTACACTGAGTCTAAGCCTCAGGTGAAACAAAACAAAACAAAACAAAACAAAACAAAACAAAAAACTGCCCTAATCATACCTACTAATGGATGCTCCACTCTGAGTTTTGAGCCAGTATTTGGAACAGAAAGAGAGTACATTTTTTAACTTGGCCATTTCTAAGCATGGTAATCATGGCTTTAAATATTATCTGCAATTTTGACAACAACCTTGCCAGGTACCCACGATTATCATCTCTGTTTTACCACAGAGTGATTATTTCTAACATGCATCATGTTCCTGCCCTGCGTAAAATCCAGTAAATGGCTCTCCAAAGCTTTTGGGACTAAAGTCCTGATTTTTCACCAAGATACTCAACCCACAACCCCTGGCCTCCATTCCAGCCTCCTTCCTGGCCACTCTCCCATGTCCATCAGTAATGCCAACCCATTGCACGCCATGCTCCATTATAATGCATGACTAGAAGTGTTTTGGTTTTACCTCACCATCGCTATCATTCTCTCCAGTGAGAATGCCCTTTGTACTCCCTACTTTACCCATCTCATGTCCTTTAAGACTCAGTTTAGGCAGTCACCACCTCTAAGTTATTCTTAACCTGTTAGGGCTAGTGTCCCTCCTAAGGGGTCCCATTATGAGATGTGCTTGCTTCTACCATAGCACTCATACCGTATGGAACTCTTCTGTGTCCCCAAGTAGCCTGAGAGCTCCTTGAAAGGAAAGACTATTCTTTGTCTTTGTATTTCCAGCAGTGAGCACAACATATTAGGTACCTGCTAGGTAGAAATGTTTGTTGAGTGAGTAGTTTAGGATTTCTATCTTAAATTTTGCAATCATAGAACCAATCTCAAGTTCAAAATTCATATTTCATTGCATTATTGCTGATTCTTGAAATATTGCCTATGTTGATCCACTGGTATGTTAGTCCGGACTTTTTGGTTGTGAGTGACAGAAGCCTAATTCAAGTTGGCTTAGGCAAAAATGAACAATTTCCTGGCTCAGTAACCAAATCACGGGGATGAATGGGCCCAGTAATGAGGACACTGTCAGTCGCCCTTTATCTTGATCTCTCATGTCCTTTTCTTCTTGGGGGCTGGCATCATTCTCTCTTTTGTAGAGGAAAGATTTCTCTCTTTCAAGTTCAGTTTTTAAAATCCCAGAGACAGACTCCAGCCTGTGTGGCCTATTGTTCTCAGTCTTCAGATCATCAAAGCCCTAGGGTTTCACATTAGTAAAGGCAGTTAAGGTGTCCGTTTTCTTTCTATTTTTAAGTCAATAAATATGCATGATAATTTAAATTTGTAGGTCCCCCTCCCCCTTAAAAGGGAACATCTGAGAGCCTCTGAGTAAACATGCACAGAGGTTGGGGAAGATGAGTTTGCTTGTAAGAGGGTAAGTCATTCAGTTTATTACCCCACAAAATAGCTTCCATGATAGTTTTGACTGCCTTGCTTTTAATTTTTTTTAAAGATTTTATTTATTTATTTGACAGAGAGAGACACAGAGAGAGAGGGAACACAAGCAGAGGGAGTGGGAGAGGGAGAAGCAGGCTTCCCGCCGAACAGGGAGCCCGATGCGGGGCTCGATCCCAGGACCCTGGGACCATGACCTGAGCCGAAGGCAGACGCTTAATGACTGAGCCACCCAGGCGCCCATTGCTTTTAATTTTTATCTTTCACAGACATGTACTGTTTACATGGTATCAGTATTTTGCAACCTCAGTACTATTGACTTTGGGCCAAATAATTCTTTTTTGTGGTGGGGTGTTCCGTGCATTGTAGAATGTTTAGCCATATCCCTGACTTCTCCGTGCTAGGTGATAGTAACACCCTTGTCCCCAGGGTTATGACACCAAAACTGTCTCCAGACATTGCCAAATGTCCCCAGGAAGTGGGAGGCAAAATTCCTCTCCTGAAAACCACTGATATAAACCTATAATAGACAACTGGCTGGAGACATGAAGCATAAAGATCAAGGACGTTGAAATATAACTAGTATGAGGGACCTAATAAAGTTGCCTCGATTTTATTTTTTTTAAAGATTTATTTATTTGAGAGAGAGAATGAGATAGAGAGAGAGCATGAGAGGGGAGAGGGTCAGAGGGAGAAGCAGACTCCCCGCTGAGCAGGGAGCCCGATGCGGGACTCAATCCCGGGACTTCAGGATCATGACCTGAGCCGAAGGCAGTCTCTTAACCAACTGAGCCACCCAGGCGCCCAGTTGCCTCGATTTTAGAAAATTGCCTCAAGATTTTCACCACAACTGTAAGTTGCATAGATAAATTCTAAATTAGTTTATGTCTAGTTTAGCTTTTCACACATTGAGAATGGAACTGCCCCTACTAGCTCAGCATTATTTGTGAAATACTTGTAAGAGCTGCCCCAAATGGTTTCTCTCATAGAGTTATTTGTGAACAAAACACTAACCGTAATTTTTGAAAG